AGGGACAATTACGCTTGTTTGACAGAGGACTAGCAATGTTGCCGGAAATGGAGAGACTTCCGGCCCACAAGATGAACTTATGAACGGCAGAGACGATCGCAATCCTTCCGCAGCACGCCGGAGACGTCCAGGTAGAAATAAAAACAGAATATAACGGTGACTTGTTTATTGAGCTTAGTGTACGTGGCGAAGAGTCTAGAGAATATTGTATACCGCGCTGCGTAATTAGTACATCGGAAGGTCGAGTGCCGGTGATTAATTTGTCTGACAATCCAATAATTATTAAAAAGGGGAGAATAACTGCCAGCGCCGAGATTGCTCGAGAGGGAAATGAGCAAGATTAGGAAAAGAATACTAGAGATTGAGACCATTAAAAAATCGATAGAACAACCGTTACCTGGAGGTGAAATTAAAGTAGATTCGAGCGTTAGCGAAAATGATAAACAGAAACTATATGAATTATTACACAGATATAGGGAATATTTCGCGTTGAATACTGCAGAGTTGGGGAAAACTAACGCCGCGGAAATTCGAATTGAGTTAGTTAATGACACGACCATAACATATAGGTCTTACCGTCTTTCCTACGCAGAGAGAGAGACAGAGAGGGGGGGGGGAGAGGGAGATAGAGAGGGAGAGAGAGAGAGAGAGAGGGAGAGGGGGGGGGGAAGAGAGAGTTAGGGATATCATTGATGATTTAAAAACCAACAACATCACCAGTGCATCGAACTCGCCATTCGCATTTTGCTAGTTAAAAAGAAAACTGGCGAGAACAGAATGTGCGTCGATTATCGAGCATTAAGCGCAGTCAATAAGAAAGATAGGCATCCTTTGCTACTGATAGAAGATCAGCTAAACAGTCTACAAGGATGCTCGTATTTTACGAGCTTAGATTTAGCTTCAGGTTATTATCAAATACCGGTAGAGGAGAAGTCCATTGAGAAGACGGCATTTGTGACTCCTGATGGACAATACGAATTTTTTCGAATGCCGTTTGGCCTAGCAAATGCTCCAGCAGTTTTCCAGCGAATGGTGAATAAAATATTGAATCCATTAAGGGGACGCGTATGTGTGTTAGCTTACATGGACATCCTCATCCCATCGAAAGACATAAAAACGGGACTAGATGCATTAGAATCAGTACTTAAGGAACTGGAGAAGGCCCAACCTACGTTAAAACTCCCAAAGTATACGTTCCTCGAAAGAAAGGTCGACTACCTGGGGTACGAAGTGTCACAACAAGGGATCCGACTGGGGTGTCATAAAATTGAGACAGTAGCAAACTTTCCAGTACCTAAAGACGTGACGGGAGTACGGCAATTTATTGGATTAGCTAGCAATTTCCGGAAATTTGTAAAAAAATTTGTCATTATTGCGAGACCACTCACACAATTGATGAAGAAAACGGAACCGTGGGTTTGGGGAGATGTGCAGGTAGAAGCATTTGAGACTATTAAACAGCAACTCATCTCTAGACCCTCCTTACTTTATACAGAATACAGGCGGAGACTGAAATTCACACAGACGTGAACAAAGTCGGTCTAGGAGGTATCCTATTGCAAAAACAAGACGATAATTCAATGAAACCCATAGTTTATTTCAGTCGCCGAATGACTAAAGAAGAACAAAGGTATCATTCGTACGAACTTGAAACATTGGCGGTCGTGAGTAGTCTCCAGCGATTCCGAGTATATGTGTTAAGAATAAAATTCAAAATAATTAGTGACTGTAGTGCATTGAGAGCCACCTTCGTCAAGCGAGATGTTCTTCCGCGCGTAGCACGCTGGTGGATCCAGCTGCAGGAATACGACTGCACGATAGAGTATAGGGCTGGTGCAAAGATGCCGCACGTAGATGCGCTAAGCCGAAATCCTGTCGAGAGCAGTGCGAGTCATGCAGCAATTGAAGATGTAGGGCTATTGCATCTAGATTTAGGTGATTGGCTCTTGACTGTGCAACTGCAGGATCCGCATCTTGCTTATGTACACGAAGTCTTAGGTCGGGAAGCAAAAGATAAGGAAGAATTAAGTATTAAACAGGATTTTGTTCTGAAAGATAATAGAGTCTTTCGAAATACGAAAAATGGGGCGAAATGGGCTGTGCCACGATCGGCCAGGCGGCAAATAGTCAAATTATGTCACGACGACATGGGACACGTAGGGACCGAGAAAACTCTCATTAAGCTGCAAGCAGATTATTCGTTTCCGTCAATGAGGCACTACGTGAAGAGGTATGTTGCAGCCTGCCTCTAATGCCTTTATAGTAAGGAGCCTACAGGTAGAAAGCCAGGTCACTTGGATTCTATTGGAAAGGTCCCCGAACCATTCCACACCGTACATGTGGACCACGTTGGCCCGTTTGTAAAGAGTACAACGGGAAATACCCAATTATTAGTGGTGGTCGATGCGTTCACAAAGTTTGTTTTTCCAAAGGCAGTGAAGAGCACTAAAACACTTTATGTTGAGCGGTTTTTGTGCGTCATCGCTGATACGTACGGTTTCCCAAAACGTATCATAAGCGACCGTGGAAGCGCATTCACTAGCCATAAGTTTAGAAATTTTTGCGATGAAAAAGGCATAAAGCACGTTTTGACGGCAGTAGCCACTCTACGGGCAAATGGGCAAGTTGAACGCTACAATAGAACCATTCTAGATACACTCACCGCGAGCCTCGAGGATGAAAGAAAATAGGCCCAAGAATTGGGTAAAGTCTTATGGGGTTTAAATAATACAATTAATCAGGCAACTGGGAAAAGTCCGTCAGAACTTATGTTTGGTTATAAACCACGAAATGGAATAGATGCGAAAATTCTGAACAGTTTATGTCAAAAAGGCAACAATTGTAATCGGGTACAAGCGCGTGATGAAGCACAAAAAAAATATAAAACGCAGTCAAGAAGACCAAGAAAAACGCTATAATCAGAAAAGAGCCTCTCCCGTACGATATACCGTCGGTGATTTAGTAGTAGTCAGACGAGCAATAGGGAGTAATGAGGGAACTAGTAGGAAGCTCCTACCCAAGTACACTAGCCCATATCAAGTCACGGCAGTATTAGACTTAGACCGATATGTCATCGATGATATTAAAGGAGCCGAACGGACACAAAAGCATTATTTTGGCGTAGTCCCCGGCGACAAGCTCAAGCGCTGGAACACGGCAGTCAGCGACGCTGATACCGAGAGCAGTGACGAACAGGCGGTACTGCCGGAGCTACAAAATACGCAAAAGCGTAAGTGAGCTCATTGAGTAAAAACTAGTCTTAGGACTAAGCTCTTGGTCAGGAAGTGGAGCAGTTGCATTGGCAATTTCTAAGGTCGATAATCACCAGCCCCCATAGGGCGGCGGTTAATGTAATCTGTGACACGGGCTACACGAAATCTTCATGAGTCGTACAACTGATCAGAGCGTGATATCGAGACGTAGGAGGTCCGTTTGGGGCCCAAGTGCCTGTAATTTAAGGCAACCCGACGGGGAAGCCAGGCTACAGTAGCCGTAGCATGAGCAACCTCAATTAAAGAAAAGCTGATGTGGTAGTGGGCCCAATTGTAGAAGCTAATGCACGGAGCACGAACACAGCATGAAGCATGATATCTTTGAAAATCGTTAATGCCTTTAATAATAAAATATATGTATATGTTCCTCATAGAACAAAAAAGAGTAACCAGACGTATGACCACTCAGGGAAGGTCTAGTTGAGAACCACGGATGAGTAGAAACTAGTCTTAGGACTAAGCTCTTGGTCAGGAAGTGGAGCAGTTGCATTGGCAATTTCTAAGGTCAATAATGACCAGCCCCCATAGGGCGGCGGCCAATGTAATCTGTGACACGGGCTACACGAAAGTTTCATGAGTCGTACAACTGATCAGAGCGTGATATCGAGACCTAGGAGGTCCGTTTGGGGCCCAAGTGCCTGTAATTTGAGGCAACCCGATGGGGAAGCCAGGCTATAGTAGCCGAAGTATGAGCAACCTCAATTAAAGAAAAGCTGAGGCGGTAGTGGGTCCAATTGTAGAAGCTAATGCACGGAGCACGAACACAACATGAAGCATGATATCTTTCAAAATCGTTAATGCCTTTAATAAGAAAATATATGTATATGTTCCTCATAGAAGAAAAAAGAGTAACCAGACGTATGACCACTCAGGGAAGGTCCAGTTGAGAACCATGGATTCGCAGGGTGGCGAATTGCGTCAGGACGGCCGAACTGTGAGCATGTACATAAGCGGGGACACATACACCATCACATACATCCCGTATAACCCCTGACGTTACCATCTTTGAAACAGAAGGCTCTAGCTGGGCCTCACCCCCACCCCGTACCGAGGGACAAATGGACTGACCTGAAGGAGGGTCATTGCAGAGGGATGCACAGACTTCCCTGCGGGAGACGTAGACGATATTTGAGCCTATTCTGAGATTATTATTATCATCATTATTATTATTATTATTGTATCGAGTCGCGGAAATATACATACGCTGTGTTAACCACGAACGTTGTTTATAATCATTCTTACACTACCTGTATATTTCTCTTATGGGGTCAAATGCCAGATTGACTACACTATATGAAATATTGCCCCAAAAAATTGTCGAAGTTCTACTTTTTTTTCATCTGAAGTGCGATTCCATTTAGGAGGAACTCTCAGCTAGAACTTTTAAAAATATTCCCCCCAATATTCTCATATATATATATATATATAATATAACAAATGCTGATTACTTTCGGGACTTCTCTTAAATTCAAGGCAATTGAAACGATGAATTGGTATTGTCATATTCGAATGTAAAAAATATCTCTATCAATGCCACCTTCATTTCATGGAGGGGATATTCTGTGAAGTTCGGTGAAGGGAGTTGTGGAAAAAACCCTCATGGTCACACCCACTTGATAATACGGTTGGGGGGGCGGGGGGCGTAGCCCCCCGGGTTGGCAAGCGGAGTGAGTAGGGGGCGGAGCCCGCTAGTAAATAAATAATCGATTAAAACTTGTGGATAATAACCTTCAACCTCGGATCCCTGGAGAAATAATGTTTCCCGGGCATGGCGGCAGGTTGTGTTCCCCTCTTCATCAGCACCTCAGCACCCTCCTTCGTAATCGAGCCTTTATATGCGTCCATAATAATATCAAGCATCTCGTTGTACTCATAAGAAGGCACACTCTCCGGGCTCAATTGCTCATACTTCAGATACTTGTCGATAGACTCTCCAGTGCCATCAACGCACTTACTGATGTTTCTCACTGTGGTACTAGCAATGTCCAAGCTGATGAGGGCTTCAACTTCTTCTGGGTATGTAGCGGCGTATAAAAATCCTATTGCACCACCCAGGGAATGTCCCAAAATTTTTATCTGTGGAAAAACAAATTATTCGATTTTTTCGCATGCAGAAATCGTTCTTATTGCGCAGAAAGACGACACAAATTTGGTGCATGGGTTGCTCAGTGATTCTTCAAGTTTGCCATATTTTTGTTTCCGAATGGAAGCATTGTATTTGTCAATTCCGAAATTTACAATTTCTTGTATGCGGATGACTAATATAGCCTCTGGAGTTCGAATGTCATTTGTAGGTCATGTCCGGATGTATGTGTATGTATGTGTGTATGTGACGGATCGTTTTTCGACGATAACTGACAAATTAATTATTTAAATGAATCCCATCGTGATTTGAAATATTTTTTCCAATGCCATCTTAACCGAGCTTGACCATGAGATAGATTGCATCATCTGTTGTTGAAAAAATTTATTTCCAAACCAATATTCAGGAAAACGTAAAAAATATCTCCTTTTTTTTACAGATTTTTTAGTTGAGGGGAAGAACAAGATAGACGCAATTCAATAACAAAGTGATAAAATATGAATCATGAGTAATTTTTTTCTATCTTGTTGAATAATAAATATCAATTTTTTCTCTCGTATACCCTTTCGGGATTTACGATTTGTTCACTTCCCACCCCCCAACCCCCTGTACCACATTCGCCGAAGGACAAGAGAAAATCTCATTTGTGGAAAAAACCTGCCCAGGTACAGTCGTCTCGTAAGAGATGACTTCCGCTCGACAATGCAACCGAGAGATTTTGAGGATCACAAATTTTGCCCCCCCCCCCCAGCCGGTAATCGAACTCATGTCTCCCGATGCCAATCCCACACTCCAACCACACAGCCACCGCCATCGGTCTTGTTGAATATCATATTCAACAAAATGTCAACAAATTATATTTTAACAAAATAAAATCTCATTTTGAAGTGATGACTCTATGTGATAACGTTTTGGCTTTTAGAATTTCATCTTCCTATTTTAATTATTCATCAATCGTCAAATTGTCGGAGACCGCCAAAGCCAATTCATAGCCATCACATCAAAATTAAATACTTGAACGGTCAAAAAACCCCAACTGAATGAAATAAAATGAAATTATATTATTCTAAACAAAATTATATAATATATGATTACCAATTACTAGTGTATTTAGTGGCCCGTCTTACGGCGAATCCAATTTTTTTCATATTGAAATCGACATTTCAACGATAAATGCTAAAAAATTCAAGAATATTCTGAAATATTATTGAAGCACCTAGAGGGTGTATTAATGGTGAACAAGGTCTGGTAGATAAGCTCGCAAATCAATCGAGAATTTTTCATAACTTTTTTCAATTTTTAAGAAGTTTCATAAAGTTGTGGTATATGCTAGAAAGAATAATTAAAGCTGGAAAATATCGAGAGCTTTCTAGATGATTGCCAAACTGACCAGGAGATTCTGTATAGCTATATTTCTGGATATTTCTACATTTTTTTCGGACTTCCAATAATTTTTATGGAGACCAACAAATCCTAGACAATTTTCTCAATGGTTCTTACATTTTCTAGAAGATTCTGTACCCTTCTGTACCTTTCTCAAACTTCCCAGATTTTTCATGGAACCCGAGTCGAATATTAGGACCTGAATTCCCCCTTGAACACCTATCATAAGTAGGAGGACCAGGATGAAGTTAGGGTGTAGTTGCATTCAGAAAGATCCCCTGAACGTGTGAGTTATTTCCAAATTCCGAGGGTTTAGGAAGAAAACAGGGGGTGTGTTAAACCCATTTATCGCCTGCACCCCCTAAAAGTTTTCCACTCCATCCCTCCTGGAGAGAACCTACAAACCCTTTCGAGGTATTTTTTTCTTTTTAATTATCAACATCAGAATTGTTAATATACATTGTATGAACGTATATAAGAAATACATGAAAGTAAAAGTAAATGAGGGGCCTTTAGCAAACAGAAATGAACAAAATAGTAAGCTACTCAATCATCCTGGCTATCAGGGTTAATTCAGGGGATTTATGATTCCTTTTCATTCGACAGGAGGAGAAGGGGGAAAAAGTATCAGTTGAGAAGGGTTTTTACGCCTTTAGGATGAGGCAGGATCATGTAAGGAGTTATTCAGGATGTATAGGATGAAGAAAGGAGGAAAAAATATCTCAAGGAGGTAATAGGGGAGAATAAGGTCCAGATATTCGACTCGAAGAGGCAATAGGGTGGAATAAGGTCCAGTTATTCGACTCGGGAATTCCGAAGAAATGGACATTTCAAATTATATAGAGTAAGATACGATATATTTAATATGTAATTATATGATTATAAAATTGTGACGTATTGTCATTAATACGTCGATTATTTGTGTATGACAATGCAACATGTTATGAATAATACGTTACATTCAACTTATAATTTTGAACGATGAGAAAAGGAATATGATTTCTTTCCCATCGTCCAACAGTAGAGCTCAGCACTCTCACGGTTTCACTCGAGTCCAGCTTCTCGGTAAAGAAGCCGTTTGACTGTTTTAGTTTTATGTCGATGATGACACTTATTTGTGTTAGTACTTAGGGACCGTGAGACTGCTTGCTCTGCAATTTTTGGTCTTGAGCGTTTTGTGAAGACCCGTAAGAGTCAGAGTACGATCGGGAGAGAAGTTGCACGGGCATCCCAGCTCCTCAGATCTTAACCCATTCAGGCACCATCGTCCGTCCCCACTCTACAGCTACGCGCGGTGCGGTGGGAGTGGGGATGGCGCGCTCAGGCACGTACGTTAAGACACTGTGAAAAGTGGGAATAATTTATTTTATATTTTTTTATTACACACACATTTGGAAAAACAATTTATTTGAATCAAATGACCACTTTTATTTGAACGGGCACTTCCTGAAGATAATATGTGAAATAAACATTTTCAAAAAAAAAGATGAATAATGAATATTAACTGAGAAATAATAAAATTTTTTTACTTGATATGATTGAACAGATTTACTCAATTTGAATATTTTTTGAAATTAAATCAATATTTTCAAGTAAAGGCTTATATTTGAATCAAATAGGTCATTTTTTGGGTGCATTAAATTTTCTCCAATAAACTTATCGAATATAATAACGAAAAAATAGACGTTTTTATAATAAATCATCACATTCATTGTTCCGATTCCTCGGTATTTGCATCCCTAAAACTGTGGGCCTTGCTGAAGCATAAAGTTTTACAAAAAGCCACTTTGCATTCCACATACAAAACTGCTGCACGCTTTCACAGTTGATACGGGCCTGGCACTTAGCGCGGTGGCGGAGTCACTGATGCACCAACACTCGGCCACACCCGAACACAGCTGTGTTGCAAGCGCTAGTTCGCTGTTCCCCCTTATTGCTCACACCGATACGTTTCGTGATCTTGGTACCTCAATGGGTTAATAACGCGTTAACCGAAACCCGATAGTAAAACTGTGGTGTATCTTAATTAATAGTTAATAGTGAATAAATAAGCAGCTTTTACCTATTGAATATACGCGAGTGTTTTACCACTGAAATACCTTACAAAGCTTCCACATAGTATCCCAAAGTGAGCGAACCCCCCGTAAGCGCGGCCGTGAAAGTTAGCCGAACATTTAGGGTGTTAAGATGGCCCTAGGAAAAGGTATCGCATTTCCATAGTGAATAGTCGCAGGGTCTATTCACTCAAGTTAGATCGTTCGGGATTAATGCAGAGGACGATCTAATCTCAAACGTCACAAAATTATATTATAATCTTGAAAATCTGTTATCGAACCAATTTTTTTGTGAAAATCGAGAAGCTGTCTGGAAAGATGGGCCAAGTTCTTCTTAGCCGCTGTTATTCTTCCCTTGACCAGTCTCAACGAAGCTTGGCGGAGGATGGCATTTGCCTGCTTCGAGGGAATAGGATTCCTCAGACGGAGGAATTTTTGTACCACTTGATGGTCACGGTACCTTTTCAAAAAGATTAGGGAGCATAAACTCATCTCTTTCAAGTCAACTGAAACGCATTGGGATATTTCCATTCGACGGTAATCCATCGCAATGGAAGGAGTTCAGCGATCTGTTCCAATCACTCGCGGGTCAAGATACATCAATGCCCCCGGTGCAGAAATTAGTACGCCTCAACAATTGTCTTCGAGGTTCAGCAGCAGCCCTAATCGCCACGTTCACAGGAACGTCTGAAAATTATGAGAAGACAAACTCACCCAAAGAATTATGAACATTCATCGAGGTTTGCGCGAGAGGAGTCAACTCTGGCGCTAATTTCAACTGAACTACATCACCATCAGCGTTGGAGTGGAATCCAGGAACTACAGGATTGAGAGTTAAGTATCATCTTCCACTTATTATTATATTGGTAAGTGATACGTCTCTCACCTTATGTTCCTCCTCTTAGCAATCAACAACAACGAGCTCGGCGACAACTGGGGGAATTTACGTCTCTCTCAGTCGACAAAAGGGCTTACCAGAAGGAATAGCATCGCCAACATGAGGTTCAAGTCTCACCAAAGGGGGACGCGACATTCAGATCAACAGTCAGCTCATCAACAACATCTCCGAAAGAGATCGTCAACAGATTTGATAGAGATCGGCGCTGTAGAACATATTTAAACAGCCGATTCAACTAATGAACAGACTGGTCCAATCAACATTAGCAGAGGGATTGACAACCAAGGTGGATCACTTCGTCAAGTCCTGAAATCTTCAAGTAGTTGGCGCCAATACACCTTAATTATGGAATAGTATTAGGTATTTAATTGCACAGGTTGTTCACTGAGGGTTTCTCCAACGGCCGTAAGGAAACCTTCGATGAGCAGCTGATAGACCTTCACCAAAGTTCAGGGACCAGGAAATATGCAAATTTAATGTAATCAACTGCATACAAAATTAAAGAGCCATCACCACATGATCAACAACTGTGAGACACAGTTAATCTCCAGAAATCCACAAAAGGACGTCATAATTTCCAGAAGCCTCTCCAGCATACTATCTAGCGCAGAACAGGCCCTGGGAGATGTTATCACCCAGAAGCTGTGAGTCGTATTGA